AATATCTAATTGAGCAAATAATAATACTCCTAACGAGTTTATTTAGGTCTTGCATAACTAAATTACATTGGTTTTCGTTTGGTCGTTATTTTTGACGGCATTTTTTGGCCTCGGTGCCACTCAATTCAATATGAGCATTGTTAATTCGAGTACATTTTTTTGGCACTCATGCAGCCCTCTATTACATATCTATGTTGATTAGCTGATTTACAAAATTTTAAATTGTAATCAGAAAATTGGGTCGTGGAAAGCATTGCACCAACAAGTTTACTTCGATGGAAAGTGGATCATTTAATTTTTGTACAAATAAAGTGATCCACAATGCATTGCCCCATAAAGAAAGTGATGTAAAGTGCGAAAAAACATTAAGCACAACATCATGTCACTCGACTCATTTGCGAGAGTTAAAAGGATCATTTTAAAACACTACTCAACTGAAAAATTACCAAAACATATCAGCAACGAATCAAACAGTACGGAAATTGTCCTAAATAATTCCATTTGATATTACGATTTGAATACTCGCTGTCCAAGAAAACTACCATATTTGACACATTTCCAAACGGATGATGCTCGCAAAGGAGCACAAAAATTTATCGCGTTCCTACGTGAGACGTCCACAGAATTCTGAATTCAACCCTAGATGTAAAACAAAAACCATTAAACATAGAGGATCAAGTGTAATGGTATGGGGTTGCTTTTCATAATATGATGTTAGCCCAACGCTCAATTTTGTTAATAATTTTCAGCTCCATTATTTTTTCGGTATTGTTTTGAGTTTTTTGATAATTTTTTGAAAACGATGAATATTTTTGTGATAATTGTTATTGTTGCAATAATTTATTGTTTTCTGCTTATATAAAAGCAAAAAGTAGATCAATACACTGATAAATGTGTTGACGAGAACTTATTAAACCTTTCATTTACAATTGATGTTATTTTATTTTTCACAGCTTTATATACTTTATAGGGTCGTCTACTCCCTTTCTGCCTGCTACATACTTTTAACAAAACCATTATACCAATGCTTTCCCATTGAAAAAGGGTTCATGGTATAAAAAGTCAAACCATTCAAGTGAGTGTGCACGAGCTAAAGGCTTTTACTAAGCAATCGGTAACTCGTAAGTTTAATGACGGACGGACGGATACGTAATACCTACTATACTTTTGATAATACAGTGAAGTGATTTTTGTAATATTTCAGTTAAATAGATTTCGACATGTATACTCATGAAATTTGTGAAATTCTATCATTTATTGAATATCAACATAAAATACATGAATTAGAGCGAGAGAAACATTGTATAGAGATTTTATGGTTTATTGTAAAGGGTGATTTTTTGAGAGCTATACGAAACTTTAAAAAAAAAAAAACTATAGAAAAGTTTTTCAAAAACACACGCAAAATTCAGAAAAGATGCATGAAATCTTTATTTAAATCGATAGTACAGTGCATATTTAATGTTTGAAGATTATTTCATGTAAATGCTGACTGCGAATGCGCTTCAAATGGTCCATCCGCTTATTCCAATTTTGGCATACTGTTTTCAAAATTTCGGCTGGTATCTCATGAATAAATGCTTCAATGTTGTCTTCCAATGCCTCAATAGAAACGGGCTTGACTGAATTGATATGAACTTTAACATAGCCCCACAAAAAATAGTCTAATGGTGTTATATCGCACGATTTGGGTGGCCAATTGAGTAACAGAGGCCCAATTACTGCGATGAATCGATAATTCATGGTCATCATTAACACTGCTCAATACAGCTGCGATATTTTCTTCGCACTACGACTTTACGTAAGCGTGTTATGGTTTAATGTCCAATAATGTTAATTTGGTGCGATATTCAACCACAATAGCCCGAATAGCCGCTGGGTCGATTAAACTGACTATAAAATTAAAGAAGCGCGCAACGAACTTTATTAACAGAGCACGCATTTTGATAAACAAATTCAATGATCTGCAAGCGTTGTTCGTTTGCGTCAGATGTTTAAACCAGTGTTGCCAAAAATTTTCAAATATTTTCGCAGGTACTGGTATTATTTTCTGTCAACGATGAAAACGAAAAATACAATATGTTATTGAGAACTTCAGACTTCTCCTTCAGGCATACTATTTTGCGCTGCTAAGGCTTGCTTCATTGAATATGGAAATATGTGCATAAAGTATCAGTCATGTCAACATGAAATATACAAATTTAATCAATTTTGATGTTTTTGTCAAAAATAAACATTAATCAAAATATATTAAATATATGTTTTTCAGTTTTATTTACTTATTTAACATTTTTTCATAAGTCATAATTGATTTCTTATCCAATTTTATAACATTGTCTACAAAATAAACAGTTTTTCATTCACTTGTTTTTCTTTCCCTAGTAAATTACTTTTAAATTGTTAACAAATATTAATTGAAACAAAGCATTAATATCGTAAAATACCTGATAAAAGAAGAAATTTCGGATAAAGCGTACGATCTTCATACTCATTCACGAATTGAGAAAGATACTATTTGTTGCTATGTCCGCTCGCATGAAAACTTAGTGATATACTGATACTATAAAGTTTAAAAATATACTCATGTGTATCCTTATCTACTAGAGGGCTGCATGAGTGCCAAAAAAAAGTATCCGAATTAACAATGCTCATATTGAGATGTGTGGCACCGTGTCCAAAACGAAAATTGGATGAGTAAATAAGTTCGCCCGTGTATGACTCAGAAGCACAATAGTCTATTGAGTGAGAAAGAGTTAGTCAAATATGAGTCCGGGTATATAAGTTACTTCGCTGAGTATATGAGTTGCTTCACTGCCAGCGAAGAAAAAATGAAAATAAATTAAAAAAAAAAAGGAAAAGTGTTAAAAAATAAAAAGGAAGTATTGCCGTAAGTCTTCTATATATGGGTTTGTTTGCAAGTGTACGCAGAGTTCTACGAGCAAGTGTATGTATTTATACGTTAAAATTATATTAGAATTTATAAATATTATTTTATTTATATTGTCAGGTTGGTAAGATAATGTCATGAAAACGCTAACGGTTAGTATAAGCATAGCACACCCATTCAAGAGATAGAAAGAGACAGACTCAGAAAAAAAAGCGAACAGCTAGGCTTCATATTAAAATGCGTTCTGTTCGCTTGAGCGTTGGCAGAGCACTGATTTTCGAATGAGATTTTTTCACTGCTCGAGCTTCAGGCTATAAAACCGAACAAATACGAAGTGTTATATATGCGTGCATAAAGTCGAGTGCCTCGACGCCTCTATAATTCGGCTAAATGTGGTATTGCTCTTTAGGTCTTATTAATTCTCACTCTGTTTATACCCTGAACCCATTGAAAGTGGGAAATCAGCGTATAATGGTTTTGTTGAAATGTATGTAACAGGCAGAAGGAGGCGTGGCAGACCC